CCTTCTTCCCAGGCTTCTTCTCAGCATTTGAGGCCTCCTCCCTTCTTCTCAGCCTTCTTCTTGGCATTTGAGGCCTCCTCCCTTCTTCTCAGCCTTCTTCATGCCATTTGAGGCCTCCTCCCTTCTTCTCAGGCTTCTTCTCAGTATTTTGGGCCTTCTGCCTTCTTCTTGGCCTTCTTCTTGGCATTCTTCTTGGTGTTTGGTGTCTCCTCCCTTATGCTCAGGCTTCTTCTCTGCATTTGGGGTCTCTTCCCTTCTTCTCAGCATTTGGGTCTCCTCCCTTCTTCTTGGCATTTGGATGTCTCCTCTCTTCTTCTTGGCCTTCTTCTCAGCATTTGGGGTCCCCTCCCTTCATTTCAGGTTTGGGGTCTCCTCACTTCTTCTTGGCCTTCTTCTCAACATTTGGGGTCTCCCCCCCTTCTTCTCAGGCCTCATCGCTGCATCTTCGCTGTCTTCTTCTCTCCCTTCTTCTTCACACTTGCACAGACGTTTAGCAAAATGTCATTTTTGCAAAACCTTGTGATATAACATAGGCGTAGCTGACAATAGTAAAACAATTCTCATGGTGAAAAACTCTGAATGGAATTTTCCGAACATTCTTGTTATGCAACACTAGAAAGGTAACCATAACAGTCATCAGAAGACATTTTCCTTTTTTCATGTCTTGGTGAATGTACAGTAACTAACATGTAGTGAAATACTCATTCCAGCCATTGTCAGAATACATTTATCAGCAACTCAAGCTGATTGAACACTACTGATTTCTCCAATGCGTCCCTTTAACAGAAGTTGAATAAACGACTTCTATTGAGCAGAAAAACACACACACAGTTCAAAATGTGGCAGGTCCCTGCAGGACTGCCTGAATTTCAATCAGAGTATGGCCAGCTTAAGTAAAGCTGGCCAAACACTAGTAGAAATTTGTTTAAACTTTTCTGATAAATTATTCGTCAGAGCAATCGATCTTGCAGTTGAGTCAATTAATTTAATTTGAAAACCTTTAACTTATTGTCCTGAACTGGAATGGAATGGTTCTGCTTTCTGACAGTTGACCCGAAAGTGGCTCATCCTCAGTTGTTTCCTTCTCGTCACAAAGGCATTTGAACCAGTCGTAAATTATTATTATTATACAGGATGTATATAGCGCCAACAGTTTGCTCAGCGATTTACAATATAACGGGAGACAATACAGCAACAATACAGTTCTATACAAGAGGGATTTGAGGTCCCTGCTCCTTGGAGCTTACAATCTAGAAGGGAGGGGCTAGTGGTACAAAAGGTAGTAACTGTGGGGGATTGACTGGTTGGAAGAGTAGAAGATTCCAGTATTAGCTGAGGGCAGGATACGCTTCCCTGCAGAGATAGGTTTTCAGAGATTGCCTAAAAGTGAGCAGAGTAGGCGATAGTCTGATAAATTGGGGTAGAGAGTTCCAGAGGATGGGGGAAGCTCTGGAGAAGTCCTGGAGACGAGCATTGGAGGAGGAGACAAGGGAGCTAGAGAGTAGGAGGTCTTGCGAGAAGCGGAGAGTACGGTTTGGGTGATATTTAGAGACAAGATCGGTGATGTAATTTGGGGCAGTGTTATAAATGACTTTATACGTTATTGTTAATGTTTTGAACTTTATCTGTTGGGCAACAGAAAGCCAGTGGAGGGATTGGCAGAGAGGGGTGGCAGATACAGAATGGTTTGTAAGGTGGATGATTCTGGCAGCAGCCTTCATGATAGACTGAAGAGGGGATAGCCTGCGATGAGGTAGGCCAATGAGGAGGGAGTTACAATAGTCAAGGCGAGAGATAACAAGGGAGTGAATAAATTGCTTAGTGGTTTCCGAGGTTAGGAACGGGCGTTTCTTGGAGATGTTGCGGAGGTGAAGTCTACAAGATTTGGACAGTGATTGGATTTGGGGCTGAAAGGACAGATGGGAGTCTAGGATTACACCTAGTACCCTGGCATGAGGGGAGGGAATGATGATTGTGTTATTGATCTTGATGGAGAAGTCAGTGGAGGGGGCACGGGCTGGGGGGAATACTAAGAGCTCAGTTTTGGAAAGATTGAGTTTGAGGAAGTGGAGTGACATTCATGCCGATATGTCACTTAGTAGGTTAGTGATGCAAAAGGAGACTGAAGGGGCGAGGTGAGGGGTAAAAAGATAGATTTGTGTGTCATCAACATAGAGATGGTACTTAAAGCTATGGGAGCTTATCAAGTGACCAAGGGAGGAGGTGTAGATGGAGAAGAGAAGGGGTCCAAGGACAGAACCTTGAGGGACCCCTACAGAAATAGGGAGTGAAGAGGAGGAGGCAGCGTTATAGGTAGCACTGAAGGAGGGCTGCGATAGGTAGGAGGAGAACCAGGAGAGAGCAGAGTCTCTGAGGCCAAGAGAGTGAAGTTTTTTGAGGAGGAGGGGATGGTCAACAGTATCAAAAGCCGCAGAGAGGTCACGTAGTAAGAGTACGGAGTAGTGGCCATTGGTTTTAGTAGTTAGTAGATCATTAGTGAGTTTTAGTAGGGCAGTTTCAGTGGAGTGGAGTGAGCGAAAGACAGACTGTAGATGGTCAAGAAGGTTGTTGTCGGTGAGGTGGGAGCTCAGGCGATTGTAGACTAAGCGTTCTAGGAGTGTAGAGGTAAATGGCAGCAGGGAGATGGGTCTTAAGTTGTTCAGGTTGGTGGGGTCCAGGGAGGGCTTTTTAAGTATGGGAGTGATGTGCGCATGCTTTAGAGGAGAGGGGAAGGCACCAGTAGAGAGGGAAAGATTGAAGATGTTAGTGAGGGAGCATAGGACGGAAGAAGAGGGTGACCGTAGTAGTTGTGAGGGGACAGGATCCAGGGGGCACGTAGTGAGACGGGCTTCTGAGAAAACCTTAGTGACCTCTTCGGTAGTGGCAAGGTCAAAAGAGGAAAGTGTTGAGGGAGGTTTAGTATAAGGTATGCTAAGTGGGATGGATTTCTGTGCAGTGGCGATGCCCCTACGAATTGCGTCAATCTTGTTTTTGAAATGATTTGCAATCTCGTGAGCAGTGAGTGAGGTACTGGGTGGAGGTGGAGAAAGTAGAGAGTTAAAAGTAGAGAAGAGACAACGAGGACTGGATGACAAGGTATTAATAAGAGTGACAATGTAGGCTTGTTTGGCAGCATGAATTGAGGAATTGTATGTTAAGAAAGAAGATTTATATCGGGTGAATGCTTGTTGAGATTTGGTTTTACGCCACAATCGCTCCAGCGCACGACTATGTTGTTTAAGATTTCTGGTGTGGTCAGTCTGCCAAGGTTGTAACAGTCGGGGTCTGATGCTTCATGTTGTTAGAAGAGCAAGTGAGTCTAATGCGGATGAAAGCGAACTGTTATAGACAGCAGTGGCCAGGTCAGGACAGGGGAGAGATTCTGTCACAGAGTTGGTCAGTTGCAGAGTGGAAAGGAGCAGGGCTCAAGTTGTGAAGGTTTCTGCGGGTAATTGTTTGCTGCTTGGAGGGATAGGTGTTTGAAGACGAGGAGACTGTGAAGGTGATGAGATTGTGATCAGAGAGAGGAAAGGGGGTGTTTGTGAGGTCGTAGGGAGTGCAAAGACGAAAACACATTTTCTGCTCATGGCTTCCGTCCCGTACACTTGCACCAACATTTCATGTGTCTCCGTCACTGTTTTCCCTTATTAGTAGCAACACTTGATGTTCACTCGTTGCTCCATTGCACTGTGATCCTAACCTTCACACTCAACTGCCCACAGTTACCCTGATGGTCACGTCTACTCCATGCTAGGTGGCGCTTTCTGTCGTGTCTCTGGATAGTCATATGCATGTGCACAAACCTGGCCTATGTTGCCGTTGAGATATCAAACCATTCACCAGTTTTTTTAGACACATCTCGTGCTACATTTACTGTATACCAGGGTATCAAATCTACTGGTAAAAACACCACATATTTAGCATTATAAGCAAAATAATACAATTTCAATCCCAACTGATGCTCTTTTTTGTTTTGGATAAACCTGAAAAGTGTTGTTGTGTCCCCAGTGAGGAGATTTCTCATCACTTTCTGTCAGGACAAAGGAAATTTCTCCAATGGACACAGACAAAATCAGTAGAGCGAGAAAGGTCAGAACAAATGAAAATGTTTTTTTCCTGGATCCAATATGAAAGCATACTATCACATGTATGCTGCCATGGATTGGCTCCAGGAAAGGAAAATGATGGAATCTGATACAATTCTCCTGGCACCAACATGGCAGCTTGCATGGTATGCTGCCATTAGATTGGTGCCAGGAAAGGAAAAGTACAGTAAGTATTTGATATAATTTCCCATCCTTTTTCCTTATCCAGGAGTCACAACGGCGCAAAGAGAAGGGATATCTCCCCAATGGACACACGGCCAAAAATCTAATTCTTATTGAGCCTATCCAAAACTATATTGGAAAACTGGACCAAAGCTAGACTTGAATGTATTTACAAAGACAATACAAAGAACAATGATGCCCAGCAACCCATAGCAATGATGTCAGCTTTTAGCAGTTTTGAGGGATCAAGAGAGGTGATTGTTGATGGTTGTTATGCATTATACAGTCCACATGGGTCTTTGTCTCATAAACACTGGCCTTAGGGTCATGTTACACAAGTGATCCTGATGCTGGTGACAGTTCTCCAGCAACAGGATCACTAAGCTTACTGACTTCTATGGAGACACTCCCTGACTAGTTCCCTGGTTGCTCCCCTGGTGATGTATTCCCAACAGTTGAATTGCCCATGTGACATAGCTCTTAGGATCATTATTTAATGACTTTTTATAAGGATATATTATATTTTATAGATTTTTTATATATATTATATAAGGACACTATATCATAGAACAGATGTCAGTGCTGCACTGTAACCTAAAACAGCCAGTATTAGGTTTGGTCCATCTTCACCAAACCATTAGAAGCTGATAATATCTTGTATTATATGCACTGTGGTTGGATGGATGGATTTTGTGGATAATGGTATTGAATGGTGGACATTCTTCTACTCACCATTATGAGACATCCCAACAGCCAGACATTTCTGAAACCTGCAGTACTGACATTTGTTGCGACTTTTCTTGTGAATGCGACAATTGAGTTCACATCGTTCATAAATTAACTTCAACCTGATTGTTCTCCTGAAGAATCCCTATAAGGAAGAGAACATCATTAGAAAACCAATACATGTGTTCAAAGGATCAGTTCTCAAACACATGGATCTATGAGCAACAAACATATACTGTATGCTGAAATGTCTTAATTTCATATCATATCATTAGTTATTTAAGAATTAGCTCCTATACCTTGACAGGACATAGGAAAAAAATATATCTAATACCTAAATCAGTCTTTACAACAGACGTACAACAGAGTGTAGGGAAAGGAGAGGCAGCATGAGCATAAGTTTAACCACTTCAAGTCCGGACACTGTCACCCCCTTCCTGTCCAGGCCAATTTTCAGCTGGCAGTGCTATCACACTTTGAATGACAATTGCGCGGTCATGCAACACTGTACCCATATGAATTTTTTAGCATTTTTTTGAGACAGATAAAACTTTATTTTGGTGGTATTTATTCACCACTGGGATTTTTATTTTTTTGCTATATATAAATGAAAAATTCCAAACATTTTGAAAAAAAGTGTTTTTCTTATAAAATTTTGCAAATAAATCTTTCTTCATAAATCTTGGCCAAAATGTATTCATCTATCTTTTTAGAAAAAAAAAAATAACCCAAATTAGTTTATAACCAAAAATTATAATTTTTCAAAACATTTGTGTTTTTTTTTATATTATTATTTATGTTTTTTTTAACATACTGTCACCCTAGCAGTACACTGTCACCATAGTGACACTGTACTACTTGTGGGGGGTGATGAAGATTTTTTTTTTTTTACACTGATTGCTTTTACACCCATAAAAGCTGTAAAAGCAATCATTTCTCCTAGATTGTAAACTCGAAAGAGCAGGGCCCTCGAACCCCTCGTGTAGTGTATTGTTACTGTCTTGTCTCATGTTATGTCCCCCTTGCTACTGTACAGCGCTGAGCATACCCTTTGGCGCTATATAAATACTGTATAATAATAATAATAATAATTTCTTCTTCTCTCTGGCTGCATTCTTGCAGCCATTGAGAAATACTGTGTGAGCTGTGATTGGTCACAGCTTGTCACATGGTACAAGGCTGTTGTGAATAGCCTTGTACCATGTGACCTCTGATCATTCACAGATTTCACTAGTAGTAAGCAATGATGTCAGAAGTGACATCTTGCTTACTACTATTCATGTGATCACTGATTGGCCAATCAGTGATCACATAATCGGGACCTCCCACAGAGGTTCCGTACAGTGATTGCGGTGCTGTGCATTCCTAGGGAGCGCACAGGTAGGGAAGCGGGGAGGACGTTTATAAATGGCCACCCGCTTCTGCACTGCTCCTGTCCAGCCGTTTATATACATGGGCCAGACCGGAAGTGGTTAAAACCCATCCAAAGCCAAAACCAAAAATGTACCATCTTGCAGCTTACCAATCCTTACATGTGATAGCTGCAATCATTTTATTTTGTACGCTTTTTTCCCTTTCTTTTTATTATGCCTGTTGATCTACCCAGTAACACACTTCCTGTCTTAGGGTGAATTCACTCAGTTCTCTACACTACCTATGGAGGAACAATGTAACAACTGTTTGACAGTAGCATTGGCTAGTAGATTTACATTAAATTAAAGCCTAACTCCAGCTAACACTTTCTAAGCAATAATAATAAAGTTTTTTCCTTGTAGGATAAAGGTTTTAATATGGAGGACAGGCTCCACCGCTCCTCTGAAAGGTGATCTGCAGTGAATCGCTTTTTCAGAGGTAGTTTAGAGTCCATTTACAGGCATTTAAGAGGTGATAGTGCCTCCTGCATGCCTGTTTCTTTTATTCCCAGGAGGATTTCTCTACATCTTGATTAGGGTTTTATATTGAACTACCTTGCCTCAACCACCATAGCCACATATGGCATGCGGTTGCAGCATGGTCCCATTGAATTCAACAGGTGGTGCCACTGCAAAGCCTCCCCACCCGTCCTGACCCCGCAACAAACAAAAACTGATACTAAATGCAACCCTGTCAGTATTAAATGGTTCATCTCAACCCTGTAATGTTCACTTTTTGTTGGACAGCTTGGTCTGTTAATGGAGGAAAAATAACAGAATTATTGGCCGGATGGCCAGGTAACACAATTCTGTTACCTTGGGAGGGGGGTGGAAATAGAAAAACAAAGACTGCAGCATGCATATGTCTTATAGTTCCACTTTAAGGGCAGTATATGCGGTGACAGACGTTTGACTGCATTGTAAAACATAAGTCACTGCAGGGACACACAGGAAATAATTGTTTCCTATGTGTCCCATTTACACTGAACGCAGCCCAGTGCTGCGGTAAAATGCAGACATTCTCCTTTCTATTTCAGTGCACAGCCCAAATCACATTGTGCTGCCTGACATTGCAGTGGATGAAGTATCCGTTTTGTACACTTCAAATAAAGCTTGTACATAAAAAAAAAGGAGAGCCATGTGATGCGCCGAATCGTGCACCACACTGCATCCATAAGTAGCTGGCAATGTAGAGCAGCCGGAGCGGTGAATTGCTCTGGCTGCTCTGCAATTCAATGGGTGTAAAGCATGAATTTGCCATAAAAATCTGCTGCTTCTCCTTTCACTGCCCATTCACAGAGAGGGGTAGTGAGGAGACCTGTAAGTGTTACTGAACTGCCTAATAGAAAAATCAGGTCTCCTGACCTGCCAGACAGAGCTGTGTTGTGCGACAGAGTACTGTGCTGATTGACAGAGCTGTACAAATCTCAGAACTGGCTGGACAGAAATACAAATGCAGGTTACAACCGCATGCATAGTTGTATTCCATCTGTGCATTTAGCTGTGTGCATAGAGTCTGACTTTAAAATTCCCAGTTTTCATTATTTTATTATCAGGTGACAAAATGTCTCACTAATTTATGTTGAAAGACCATAGCTCAGAATATTTTATTTGCTGGCTGTGGTTTAGTGATCATAAATTATAGAATCACACCGTGGTCTATGGAGACAACGGTTTTATTTGTGGAACCTTTTTATTCTGCTGCCTGTGTAGTGACCTGATATAATTCACTTACAAACACAGATAAACCCTCCTCACTGAAAAAGAAAAATTATTGACTTTATAAAATATATGGTTGTGATTTCTCATCCATCCAGCAGTTTATGGATGTGTAATATAAACAGTGATATATTCTATGCAAGTCTACAATTTGAGAGTTCATTGAAGTATAAAATGTCTACAATCAGTTTATCTCATGATAAACTGACTCTTCTCTGGCCTCTGAAGAGAAATTATCTGGCAAAGCTAACTATAGCTAATATCCTCAGTGCATACAACCCAAAAATAATGTGGATTTCAAGAGGTCAACAGGATACGACCACCCAGACATAGACTTTGTTATTGTAGGGAGGTAAGATTTAGGCATTTTAATTTTTTGGTACGTGTGTTTGTGTGTGTTTATCACTTCCTATTCCTGCTACCTCCTATTTTCTGCTTTCTTGAAGCAAATGACAAACTTATGTTTTTGTCAATCCAGTCCCGAGATTTACAAAGCTCTGCCACACAGCACAGCCATGTCTGGTGGTACAGATTTAATTTCCCCTGCTGCAGTTGCTTAACACTTAAAAGTTAAGCCAGCCTTAGATCGATCAAAATTTGACTGAAGTCATTCTCTTTATCATCTTCAGGATAGCCTGTTGTTTTTTTTTCACCTGATTACTGCTGGCCGGCAGTGATCGTTGTATTTTGTTGATAGGGAAAAACGCCTACCAACAGAATATAATAGCAATGCTGGAGGAATTCCCCATCAACCCTGATTTGTTCTAATTTCTTTTTTAATCCGTGGTGGTGTACAAAAACAAAAACCCCTAAGTGAACAAAAAAGTGCATGTAAAACACACAAAAAAGTGTACTTAAGGTTGTGCTTTCTGTCCACCTCCAGAAGAAGTAGGACCTTACCCTGAAGCCCCAGGGTGTAGAGCTCCTGACAGTGACAAGGTTCAACCATGGTCCTCCTGGCCAAAAGGCCAAGCAGATCCCTCTCCTCATGGTCAAGCAAAACCAGCCAACGAGTACTGGGTGAGGAGCAGGGACGGACTGACCATTTGGAAACTCGGGCACTGCCCAAGGGCCCAGGGTCAGTAGGGGGCCCCATTAGATGCCCCTGGTACCTTTTTCATAGGCTTTTTTGAGTTTGGGCAAGGACACAGGGGCCCCATGATCCCCTATTGCCCGGGGGTCCCATGAGTTGTTCAGTCCGCCCCTGGTGAGGAGCTCTCCCGAAGTGGGACTCCCTCTGGGTTCAGGGGAGGAGGGAAGCTAATGGTCACATATCCTCCCTCTAGACTTCAGGGTAGGCCTGAAGACCCACATCATCCATCCAAATAAAAAAAAGACACAGACAAAAGTGCAAAAGTGTCAAAAACGTGAGAAGAAACATACATTAAATAAATAAATAGCGCCTGTGCAGGTGCATAGGCTAGGCCCTGAGGCCTGGTAGCTAAAAAATTGTCCTGGACTTAGCCGAAAGGCCTATCCCAAAGACGTCAAGAACAGAAAAAAGCATAGGTGGCATGACCATGTGCGTAATTCTCACAGTGGGGTTCCCACTCCCAAGTTTTACTAAGAGCCCTCCTGGGGAGACCAACTCCCAGGGGGCACAGCACCATGGATTCTCTGCCTTCCTAGCCCATGGCCCGACAAGGTAGACCCATTCAAACCAGGATGAACTGGGCTCTTCCAGTCTTCCTGGGGGAATTACTCCCATGCCCCACATCCCCTGGGTGCCCCAGTTTCTTTTCCAGCTGGCACTAGCCTTCAGAGCCCCTATCAAACCAGCAGGGATACTATACAGTCAGCCATTTCTACCACAAGACCAGAATGACGGCAGAGCACCCCTACTGGACACTGATAAGAACAGATACTATTTGTGCTGATGGAGAAATCGAGCAATTTTCTTTCTTTCAACCTGTGAATCATTTTTACATGACAGCTGAGAGTCAGCTGAAAAACATTACCAAGCTCACGGCTGGTAGACAAAGAGTTAATGATTTTTTGTGGTTTATTTGTACACTGGTAAGTCAATTTTATGGCACAAAAAAGGTGATCCTGTATTTAAGCTTTAATTTGGACTGCTCAGGTTTGTGAAAGGTTTACGCTAAACTCTCTACAATTATGATGAGATTTACAGCTCATTCATTTTCACAGGACAGCCTAGAGATGTGTGAAACCTGAGAAATCACCTGAAATTAGTCACGCTAAGATGAACCGGCTGTTAGGGAAGGTGAGATAAATACTCATAGCACCTCCCCTAACAACCAGTCCGGTCTGTTCACATGATACACATTCTTCATATGAACTCTTCTACTGTTCTTCGTGCAAAGAGGGAGCACATGGACCATGCAAAACTGGTCCTAAGTCTAAATCTGTAAAATATCTGATATCTTGATGCTCAGGTCAAGTTGGGTCACTCCACTCTTATTTCATTTTATATTTTTGAGCAAATTGAAAAAGGTTGAATTGCACACTTCTAAGGACTTTCAGGAACTCTACTGGTGATTACACACACCAAATCACCACCTGCTGAAGCCATTACAATGTGGTATTACTTGTCTATGTGTGAAGTCCAAGCTGTTCTCCAGCTGATACAAGTTACATTCCTCTATAAAAGTTTGGCAGTAATAGACTTTTTGAATTATTAGAATTAAAAAAAATCTTTCTCTTGGATAAAATGTTGTAAGTTGCAATTACTGTAAAACCTTAATTTCCAAATACTATAAGGCTAGGTTAACATTTGTGCGGGTGGTTGCCCCTGTGGGACTGCACCTGCTTTCGCAGCCACAACCACCAGCACAGAAAACTGCACCGTTGTTCAGGAGATGCTCCGTCATTTGAGTTTGGCATGTGTGATATAGGAGGAAGGAGGGTACATATAAGAAATTAGTCAGTGGTTCAGTCCACCCGTTCCACTGGTAAATTAAGAAAATATTAGACTAGTAAAAGGATATTGGCATGGCAGCTTTAGATTAATAGAATTGCCTTGACTAATTTATTAAGTGATGTTTAGGTACAAATTGTAAGTAAAGTTTTTTTCTGTTAACTACATATTATGCCTAAATATTTTCTTACACACATTTCATACATATTGACTTAAACACACTATAAGGTATATACTGGATGGAATTCCTGTCCCATTGAAGTATATATGTTACCTTACAGCCTTCACATGCATGGACACCATAATGGAACCCCGAGGCTTGTCTCCACAAACTCGACATTCTATGGCAATGAAGGAATTGCAAGTGTCATCTGGCGGTTTACTGAATGACTGAGTTTTGTCTGAGTAGTACGGCGGAGATGGAGGCTCCAATTTGATCATATCTGGGTTGAAAAAAAAAAAAAGAATGATTGGACCATAAATTTGTCAATAAAATAATTTTCTCAGATTTATACAAATAGACAGAGGACAAATGTGGCAAGCAGTAGGCAAGGAATCATAAATCATTCTTGACTGATCTGATTACAGGCAACTGAAACCTGTTTTTCTGTAATGCATTCTTGCATTTTCATCAATATAAGTACTTTTTGTTGAATGTACACACTAAGCATTTTATAAAGCTGAAAATAATACATTTTAAAGACTTGGTTAATGAGAATGGGCAAAGTGACAGATTTTCATGAAAACTCGCCCTTCTATCCACTTTTTTTCCATACTGCCCCACCACTCAATTTTTCTGTGTGAGCACTGATAACTACCCAGTGTTTCTGGGTATGAGGAAACGTATCACATTCTTCCTTCTCTAAGATGCAGTTGTTACGTTCAGGTGACTAATCCCTAGGGCAGAACAATGTCACATGAGGTAGGGGAGACAGTTATAAAAACTGAAGTCTCCAGTTATGATCTCAGTTGCATACTTACATTGGTCCAGCTTGGACCAAAGTAAGTATGCATATTTCATAATTGAGGGAATGCTGGTGAAGCTGGAAATCACTATAGTGGTTGGTGGTCAGGGGCAGACTGATCATTTGGAAACTCGGGCACTGCCTGGGGTCAGTAGGTGGCCCCATGGGATGCCCCTGGTACCTTTTTCATAGGGTTTTTTGAGTTTGGGCAAGGACACAGGGGCCCCATGATCCCCTATTGCCTGGGGGCCCCATGAGTTGTCAGTCCGCCCCTGTTGGTGGTACTAAAGTGATCACTGCGATCTTCCACCTTCTGTGCCAAGCAGATTCTCTACTGCATACTGACAACAGGGGATCACTAGCTTGGGATTGTCATCCTTAACAGAAAGCTTTGTATTTTTTTCTCTAGTTGGATGAGTTGACGTCATGATCTCCACCTTGTCCAATCAAAGAATGCCTTATATTCATTAAAAAAATACCATCTGTGAAAGGTGGCACATTGATCAAGTGACCCCATGTGGTTGGTGTGCAGTGGGGCAGCTACTTGGCACAGGACCTAGAAGATTGCAGTGTCCAGTGTAGTAGCACCAACCACTACTGTAATTTCAGCTTCCTAAACAGGTATGAAATATGCATACGTACATTGGTCCAAGCTGGGCCAACGTAGATATGCAATTGAGATAATACCTGGAATTCAGCTTTAACTATGTGCAAGGAAGCCCAGTGTTCTTGCAAATGAACAGAGCATTGGAGGAGCATGGGGAAGGTAAGTATCAATCAATGGGTGGGGGTACCCTATCAAGAAAAGCAGTTACAATGCAGTTTTCTAAAACCAGAGATTGGTGATCCAAAAAAATATCTAATTGCCTTAGGGGGATAAGGAAGGATTTTTTTCCCCCAATGGAGTAAACTGGACCAAGGTTTTTTTTGTCTTCCTCTGGATCAGCTGCAGGTATAGGGTGTTGTATATGGAGGTTTTCTATTTGTATGTTTTCTTATTGGCTGAACTAAATGGATCTGTGTCTTTTTTAAAACTCTGTAACTATGTAACTTTAACATAAGGAGAAAAGCAGTAAAGGCAAACTTGTAGAGTCAAAAACAAAAGTGGGTGTTTTGTAGTCTAGGGGAGACCTAGGTAGGACTGACAACATTGTTTGCAATTTGAGCACGGCAAAGGCAGTGTGGTCAACAAATAATTAGTTAGGAGTTTAGTAGGTTTCTGGCAGGTCAACAAATGTTTTTCTAAACTCAAAGCTTTTTAAATTGATGAAACATGGCAATATGCATGTATTATAGAGATGTACAACTTTTTTTTTTATTTAGTTCAGACATACATTTTAAGTTATGTGGGTTCCACTTCAGAAATATTACTATACTATGTGAACAATTATGTTATATATTTATACCCAGATAACCGCCAACCCTGAAAAGAATGGGTCATTGTCTGAAAGTGCAAAGGAAGATAATGCCTTCCTATTGTGTTCAATGTAGCAGTTCTTGCTTTATCAATTGCCCTGTCATATTAGGTGGAGGTTTTGCATTGTATCTATACAAGACTCCAGAAAACTGTGATGAACATGGAAAAAGTCAGCGTACTTTGGCAGTCTTGGAGTTTCAGGTCATACTTATAATCAGTGTCCATTTGGTCATTTCGGCATAGGAATGATTTATCTTCCAGCATGTCTTCATAGTGGGGAGCTGAGATACTTGTAAAATCCACTGTGCCAAATGGCTTGATGTCAAAGCCCTGGGAGTGGTCATCAATGCAGGGCAGTTCCATGGTATTCATGCCGAAATTCATGCCCCAGAATGGCATTTCTGTGTCCACCATGGTTGACGCTGTTTCCTGAAAAATAACATAGATACACTGTTAGCAAACTTAAAAGCCACCACAAAAAGTTAATTTTAATTAAACTTGAAAACGTTAAGCATTTATGAAATCCACCTGTTAGTAACTGAGAAATGTAACGTAGTATTAAACCCAAAAATAAAAATGTTATATATTGCAGCTTACCAATTTTTGTATGTGGTGGCTGCATTGGTTTCCTTTTTTCCTCCTTTATTTTTACCTGGTGATCTGGCCAGTAAGTCTGTTATTTTTAATTTCCTTTAGCAGACCAAACTGTTCAGCCAAAGTGTCAGTTAGGGGGGAGAGACAATTCATTTAATACTAATAGGGGTGCTTACAATGGTCAGCTTTTTTTATTCATTTATGTAAAACCTTTATCCTAAAAGGAAAAACAAATGTTGCCATAACGGCTTAATAAATGTTAGCTGTTTAGCTTTCATTTGTTAGTCAAGTCAGTCTAAATCCCTTTCTCCAGATTGACAATGCTGCTATCCAATGGAGTGGAGACACCCAAGACAGGAAGGATGTTGCTGGCAGGAACACCAAGTGAAAATAAAGGGAAAAAAAGCCTAAAAAAGAAAACAAACGCATCCGGCATATTTAAGGATTGGTAAGATGCAATATATTACATTTTTATTTTTGGGTTTTATACTGCTTTGAATGTTGGGGTGCATTGTTTATGGCCCATGTCCGGTGTTTTCACAAGCTGCGTTTTACAGTACAGTACAATATAGCTCAAGCACAAACATTGAAATGCTACAAAAGACTGTGTTAGACCTGCTTTTCCTACAATGCATGTCATCTCAGCAGGACCTTCAGCATCCTATCAGAAAGCAAATATGGTCAAACGCAGCCACAGATCTGTTGCCTACATGGCACCATTGAGTAGACATGCACGCTGGAAATTTTCACTTTGTTTTGGATACATTCAATCATTGCAGGGTTTTGTTTCATCATATTTGTTGAACTTATTAATTTCATTATATTCAGCATTCGTTACGTATATTCATTGGATTAAAAAAAGTTGCAGTTTTTTCTGAAGATTGCTTTATACTGTATTTTGGGCGGATTCGATATCATATATCAAAACTATTCGGAAGGTTTCGATATTTTCAGATGCAATGGAATAAATAACAGACTGTGGAACTGAACTGACTGACTGTGACAATTCAATTTAAATCTCAAATTTACTTGGATCCGATTTATCAAAAAAATTGGAAAACCAAATTAATTTCCCTATGGACCTGGACCACTATCGCATCATGTGATGTCATCCAACTGAAACAAATGCATTTGTTATTTCATTATAACTTTTTTCGGATTCATTATTATGTCTAAGTATACACCCGAATCTCCGAAAATTACATTTTTGGATGAAAATCGATTTGTTACAAAACATAACGCACATGTCTACCATTGAGTTAAATGGTTAAATTGACCATCTACATGAGCTCTTAGGCTGAATATAACAATTCAAAAATCTCATTGTTGAAGTTTCAGAGAAATATAGGAGTACAACGACCAGGTCCAATACAGTAGCCGTGCTATAGTTTAGGATTAAATACCTATAACCATATTATGAAAACTGCGATTTTACAAGATACAGTAGTGTTCAATGATATCAGTATAACTAAGGATGTATCCTAGAAACTTTGTTTGCAAAAGGAGAAAATAAACTCTGACAACAGTCTACAACCTTCCTTATACATTGTTCCTTTCTTCCAATTAGCATCTGCTACACAGTATATTTACTTCCTGATGTACCCACAAAAGTGTTTAAATAAATCTATTAAATTGACATAAACATTTGTCTACTTGGCTGTATAGTATATTCCAAAGCTAATTTTTTTTTCTTTTTTTTTTACTTTATTGTATTAATACTTGCTGTCGTTTGCTAACACCAAAGAGACATTTGACAGAAACAGTTTTTTTTTTACTCCACCCAACTGATGATAAATTAATCTCGGTAATCCATTTTGTGCATGCAAGTCAATCATGATTCTTCTTGATCATGATCATGTGTGCAAACAATGTTATCCTTTCCTGAGAGAAACATTGGGGCTTGAAATGCTAGTTGCTTGGCTGTCATGCTGCTCCTCGCTTTAATACTAAGTCACTAACCCATTAACCCATAACAAGTATTCAAATAAGAAATTCCAATAAAAAAGAACACCATACTCTACACTGGGCAAAATAATGTGCAGACCCTTATTGCTCTCAGGAATCATTTATTTAGAAAAAATGTCTAACGAATGTCACTCTTCTGTCTATGGGTTCACCGCTCCAAATAAATGTTGTATAGGCATATAATCCATAATCGTTTTTTATGGGACACTTGAAGGAAGGGTCACCAGGTACCAGAGATTAGAACTAACAACCTATGTAGATTTTCTATCTTATGGTTCTTACAGTGTTATTTTTTTTATCAAGCTACATTTTGAGACTTTTTAATATTTACGGCATCTCCCACATGCGCCAGATTTCAAATATTACCAAAAGTACTGAATGATAGGAACCAGAGATGGA